GAACTGCAGCCGACTACAGGGAGTCCAGTGACATAGCCATTATACCAACTGCTGGTCCCCATAGTCTTTTTTATATTGGATGTAATAATTTTTCTTGGTTATTTATTACACATACTATAAAATATAAAAAAGAAAAATAACAGATTCTTTCTTCGAACACTCACTGCTAATTCTTATTTAACAAAGCAATCCCCTCAAAAAAGTCCCCACAAAAACTCAAACCTCACCATTAATACACCAAAAGACCACCAGTCAGCACTCTGAGTATGACCTCGACGATTAACTACTTCTGGAGCCATATATTCCACGGTTCCACAAAAAGAATATGCTTTCTTTTCATGGTCAATAGACTCTTTACTTAAGCCGAAATCTGCCAAAATAAATATTGAGGTCATAAATATCCTAAATAGTTTGCATGAGTAAATTTTAAACTTTGGGTTGCAAAATTTACATTAATTATTTAAAATTTCTAACCCAAGATTTTGGGTATATTTTTTTTTTAAAGAGAAGGGTCTTGTTGTATTGTCCAAGTTGGCCTCAAAACTTGCATTGCATCAGCCTCTCAAGCAGTTAGGACTGTAGGTATACCCACCACACCTAGCTCAATCCAAGTTTTTAATAAAATCTATTCTTCAATATTTGTACCATAATTAACCTTAGAGGAAATTATACAGAGGAGAGAATTTTTAAAAAGATTTATTTATTTATTTATTATTTTTCTCATGAGTTATTTATTATTATTTTTTTTGGAGAGGTTTTTGCAATAAGGCGCATGTGCTTGCCAGAAAGATAGAGAGAGACTGAAAGTGAGAAATCACCCCCCAGGGGGGATGGCCATGCTGCAATCCCTTCTCCTCTGTTCTCCTCTCGGGATCTTGGGCACACATGCACACGCACCCGGTGTGAGTTTAAGTCACCGGGTCTGGGACTCGAACCACGGTCGACTACATGGGAGTTCAGCAGCCATTACACTAACTGCTGGTCCCGCTCATGAGTTTTGCCAGAGACAGACAGAAAGAGAGAGAGAGAGAGTGAGAAAGCAACCTGCCAGGTCTGGGACTCGAACCACAGTCAGCCATGTGGGAATTCCAGTGCCCTAACCACCACACCATCTGTTGGCCCCAAGAATGGAATATTTTAATTAAATGAGGATTTTTTACCTGTTAACTTGATGTGACCTTCTTCATCAAGAAGTATGCTGAAAGAAAACAAAGTTAGAAAATCTTTTTTTACCACAAAATAGATATTTATAGAAGCTAAAACTGAAATTTAAGAATCACATCATCACTTTCATTCTAAAATATTGCTATGACAAAGAAGGCAAATATAACAGAAAAACTTTTGCATCCACATTTATAACAAATCTGAAAGGCAATGCCATAGAAGTGATGAATGTCAGGAACACTTGAAAACTATTGGGAAAAGAACCGAAAAACAACCTACACTCTGCCAGCTGCTCTTTCTCTCTCTCTTTGGAGAGGTTTTTGTTAATAGGGCACTTGTGCTCAGCAGAAAGACAGAGAGAGACAGAGAGACAAAGAGAGGAATCTCCCCCGGGGGGGGCTGGCCATGCCACAATCCCTTCTCTTCCATTCTCCTCTCGGGATCTTGGGCACGCATACACGCACACATGCCTGGCATGAGTTTGAGCCACTGAGTCTGGGACTCAAACCGTGGTAGAATACATGTGAGTCCAGTGACATAGCCATTACCCCAACTTCTGGTCCCGCCAGCAGCTCTTTCTAATGCCCTTCTGCAGAGATGGCCTGGCTGAACTTCCTAGTGCTTATTCAATAGAGAGAGGGTCCACATATTTAAGTCAAAACCATTAGACTTGTCATTATCTTGGTTATTTAAAAAAAATTATTGATTGAAGGACCAGCAGTTGGCGTAATGGCTATGTTCCTAGACTCCCATGTAGTCAACTAAAGTGTGAATCTCAGATCCGGTGGCTTAAACTCAGGCCGGGCACATGTAAATACATGCCCAAGATTCCGAGAGGAGAATGGAGAAGAAGGGATTGCAGTGTGGCAATCACCCTGGGGGGTGATTTCTCACTTTCTGTCTCTCTGGCAAGCGCACACGCCCTATAGCAAAAAAAAAAAAAAACAACCTCA